CGGATAACCCAGATTTTTTTGAAAGCCCTTAAGGGTTAGTGGGGGTGGGAAAACCCTGGGTGACGGTGGGGAAACATGATTGGGGTTGGGGGGGGGGGGGGGTGCTGCGCCTAAGAGTAAACTGGTGGATAGTCTTGACAGGGTCGGTCAGCAGCGGAGACGCAGTGGGTCAAGGAATAGGATTATGATGGGGAGTGTCTTAGCGCCTGTGCATGGCATCGTCCCGCCCTTGGGACACCGGAATCGCATCCTTATTTCCGCCGAGTTGCCCGCTTCCTTCTCCAGCTCGACTTTGGGTGAGAGGCCGACTATGGCCAGTATTGGCCTCACTGCTCATTGGCCTCAAGAGGTTGGACGCAACGCAGTCCTCCCACAACTGTCTTACTATAGATATGGTCCAACTCGCGGAAATCAGTCGAATCACACCGCTTCGTCCTGCCCCCTCTTTCCCCAACCCATCGACTTTATCAACGACACCAGAAGCGCTTAGCACAAGACAGCGGGAGCTGCACCACCACAGCTGCCAAGTCATGGAGCACAGCCATTCGCCTATCTCGCAACCTGTGGCGTCACGCGCTTGTTGTCAGCGCTAGATCTTACAGGCTGAGACGAAGGGGGGATGATGGGGATGTGAACCGGCGCCACCATCCACGCCACTCCAAGACCAGGAGTTGAGTCTTGGATGCTTAGGCCAGAAAAATGGTGCCAATACTCTACGAAACGCAGATAGTATTTTTCTGCACGATTTTCGCAGATGTTCAGGCAGGCTCTAGGTGGCCTGATCCGCCCTTCGAATGCAACTTTGTCTTTTTCCTGGGCTTCCTCGTGCGCTCTAAAGCCACCGATTGCAGCAGCGATCAGCAGCATGGCGCTCGGCGCGTGTGTCCGGTCGTATTAGTCACAAAACAGAGACTCCATCATGCGGGCCAAGAGACTGGCAATTCGTCCCTCCCTCGTACTGTACCTTGGATAGCTAGAGTAGAGTACTAGGAGTAGGATAGTACCAGAGCCGTACCCTCCCCTGGTAGAGTACATGCTTGCTTCGGGGCATGAAAGAATGCGAGGTCCGAAATTCCGAATGTTTGCATCTCCGCTATAGTGCAAAGTGCTACTGCACCAGCCTCCCAGGCGAGCAGTAGGTAGCGCCGGCTAAACTCGCCACAAGCGTGACAGCGTGGCTTGATTGGGGCTGGTGGGCCTTGCCCCCATCCGGTTGGTCGATTTTCGGGCCCCAGACGTCGTACAAAACTCTGCCATGCCTTGGTATGCTGATGGACGAGCAAAGGACAAGAAATACGTGTTGGCATGTGAGTTGGTTCTCTTTTCCCCGGTATATTGTGTCCATGGCAGAGTACTCTACTTCTACTAGGGATGACTGGTGGCTGGTGGCTGGGGCACCGCCTGCAGAATAGGTATACTGTATACCGTACAATGGGAATGGGGCCCACGGACCCGCTCGAGTTTCGGTCTTCACTTTTCACCCCATCCATCCCCGGGATACCGAATTGGTATTGTCCAGAACAGGTCAATGCCGTGGTAGAGGTGTTGCAGTCAGTGTTTCGCTCGTCTTGCACATGCAGTCTATGCCTATGATGTCAGCGAAAGGCGGTCAACTATGCAGTGGCCAGTGGGATGGGTATTTTTCTATTCATCCTGCCTACAATGCTACCCCACGGTTGTATTGGTAGTACCAGGTACTACCGGTGAGAAGATCCATTGTAGAGTAAGTATACTACTACTCTACTCTGCTCTGCTTCTTCTTTGGCTCCGTAATAAATGCAGAGAAGAAACGATGTCATACTGGGCGTCTTGGCATTGCACTCCTCTGTCCGCGGGAGACACTTGCTGCATGCCGAACCAATTTGCACGTTCGGCTAGTAGTGCTTATTCCATCATCCGTTGCCCTTTGTAATGCGCGCCGAGCATCGCTTACATTGTTGTCCCATTTAATCCCCATTCTGGCCCAGATGGCGCCACGTTCTACGACTTCTATCAATCTACGTAATTCGCCGTCATCAAATTTCAGCCTTAGGAGACATATTAGCACTCGTACTAGCCACATTCTCAAGCTGTGCTCCCATGATAAGACGCGACGGCTGCTGGTAAGCGGCAAGGAATGCTCGCGCACGGGTGGCATATCGCAGCACTCGGCGAAGATATTGGAAACTATGCAGGCCCTGGTCTAAGACGTGGCTGGTGCACTCATTCTGTGCATTATGCCAAGAGTGGTCGACTGGGATGGACTTCTGCCATCGCAATTTCTGTGGCGCATGATCAAGGAAGAAAACGTCCACTTAGGTAAAGATTACAACAAGAGAGGTATGCATGTGGATGGAGAAGCTGTGAACCAAACATGGTGTGTTGTGGATCGATCGCGATCAGCAATGGCCAAACAGGCATGACATCATGTGGTCGTGAACGAAAGCTGTTGTGCCATCATGCTGTATATTCTACATATTGACATTATGTGCTCATCATTGTACACCGATGTGGAAAATCGCTCTGCGCTCTTATGAACAACGGATTATAATCGGGCCACATTCGTGGTACAATGTAGGCGGCCCTTTCCAGCATGGTATGATTTATTGACTTCAACTTCCTTCGCCGATCACAAGGGTGATCAGTTTGCTCCAAAGCCGAGTCATCACTAGACACAGATTAGGGTAAAGATATGTCTCTATGGGTATGGATGATCGGCACAGACGTTCTTTGAAGAAGAGAATGAACTGGAACCTCGATGCGAGGCCACGATCCCTCGTGTCCAGTAGCATGAAAGGCGAGCTTTGTGCGATCACAGACGAAGTGTTGTGACTGGCACCAAGTCTTGCAATTCGCATCGGCCACGATGAGCGTTTTAGCGCAACCAAACATCACCTCTGGAACTCATGATGCAATGCCAGAATTGACCGACCTATGTGGACCATGAACATGACTTTCGAGGCTATCGCTAGCCCGGAGGTAGTGTACAATAAAGGGAGAGAGAAGGTAATACTGATTCTTAGCCCAATGAAATAGACTCAGAATTGCTGCTGATCCTGGCACTGGAAGAGTACTCCAAGTCGAATAGCTGCCAGAGAGGGAAACCTAGGAATCGGATGACGCTCTCTGCAGTGTGCACTTTCGTCGTTGAGATCTGGACTCCTTCAGCTGAGGCCATGGTCGGTGCCAGTCTCAGGGGAGAAACATGTCCATGTGATTCTGGTCTGGCAGGCCCATTATCGACACTGTGTTAGATACCTCGGACACTCTGGCGGCTGAGTTCAGGTACATTATACATACGATACCTACCCATTAATCACTCTCATGCTAGACTGAGCATCACTCAAAATGCCAAATACAGAAGCGCAGGCAGTTGATGCACAAGATATAGATAAATACTAGCCAAGTAGGCAAGTAGTCATGAAGAGATGGGTGGGAGCGGTGTGCCTTAGTCGTGTTCAAGGCGCTCTGGATGGTGTTGTGGGCGCGATTGTGCAAGTCTCCGCCAAGCGCTCGAGGTGGTCCGTGCCAATAAGCGAGACCTCGAAATTCAGCTGTGCGAACAACTCCAAATTGATCGAGCTTCACGACAACTAACCCACAGACACACCCGGATTCGAGCATCATGTCGACCTTCGAACCCGTCATTGTACGTACGCCCCGGACTGTCCACTCGCCTGCATCCTTTTCCTTGTGTCGGCGAAGCGACGCCTGCTGTTAGGCACGCCCACACACACATACCCACGTTCTAGCACCGCCAGCTATCGTCACTGGGCAGCTTTGGCTAACACGGCGCGCAGGTCATCGACGGCAAGGGGCACTTGCTCGGTCGCCTCGCCAGCACCGTCGCCAAGCAGCTGCTTAACGGCCAGAAGATTGTCCCAGAGGACAGACATCCAGGTTTTACGCGCAGACTTCCC